CGCATCTTTAATTAATTTTGGTGGTATTTGGTCATAACCAGTCGATTTAGTTGGTTTAACATTGGAAAGATATTTATAAACTTCATTTTCAGTTACAGAGTGCAGCTTAAATTCAGTTTCACTCTGATCTATATAACTAGATGGTTGAATTGGTGTCCTTTCTAAGTTTTCTGCCAGATTTGAACCTATGTTGCAAAAATAGTCATTTAAGACATTTGTAATTTCTTTAGCATCGGTAACACTTCCATTCTCAGTTTTAATTTCGGAAATAGTTGTTGTTTTTGATTTCTTGTTAATCAATTTATTAATAGTTTTCCACATCTCTTGTGGGTTTTTGGTGGTTGTTTCAAAACAGTGTATGAAGTGTTTGGCTTTGGCCTGTTTAATATTTTTAGTTACCTCGTTCCTAGCTTTTTTGTAAGCTTGGTGCATATTTAGAGACCCAGTCTTAACTGCTTTTTTCTTTAGATAATCTCTGTTCCTATTTTTTTTCATAATATCTTTCGTTAGCCAAGGTGTATATTCACTTCGTACCCTCCGAGTGATTGGTGGAGCATGCATATCAGCTACAAATAAAAACTTGTTTTTCCAATCCATATATATATAATTAATGTCATCAGACTGTTGATCAAAATCTATATGAAATATTTGTGATAAATCTGCAATAAAATTGTCTTTATTGTAGCCTTTGTATTGTCTAGTATTAACAACTTTTGGCTCACCACGAGGGATCGATAATTTTCTTGTTATACATATCAAACTATGATCACTAATTCCTATATGGTGTACCTCCGATCGAACAATAATTTCAGCTTTATTTGTAAACGCTAAATCGATAAGTGTACTAGTGTTTTCAGTTACTCGTGTTGGTTCTTTGATAAGTTGCTCAAATTGATATAATTCCATCATATCTTTTAATTTATCTGTATGTGATTGCATGCCTTGTTTAGACCAGTCACAATTAAAATCACCTATGCAAATCACTTCTACATTTTCTGCATCTATTTTTTCTAAAACGTTCTCATAATCGTCAAAAAGCTCAGCTTTTGAACTAGGTGGTCTATACCAGGCATTAACGAGAAAGGATTTTGCTTTAGGTTTCATGACTTCTACTGTGACCATCTCAAGGCTTTCTATCATTAACTCATTTCTTAGTTTATAGTTAATTGTGTTCCGTATGTAAAGTAATACCCCTCCTCCATGTCTATTTCTGTCTTTGCATATAATTTCATAACCGTCAATCAAAACTTCATTGTCAGCTATAGTCTCATCCAACATTGTCTCGTTTAAGCAAATTATATCAAATTGTTTTTTTCTTAAAAATATTCGGAATTCATCAATGTGTTTAATAAGGCTTCTAATGTTTAAATGAGCTATTTTAAATCCCTTAACACTTTGTATTTCTTTTTGAATGCATTCATAATTTATTCTGGTTGAAGAATTTTGCATGCTATCTTGATTATTACGATTTTCTTCAAAACCGGAATACAACATGCTCTCACAGTTATTTTCTTTTAAATCTTGGTCAAAATTTAGCATGCCTTCATAGGTTGTTTTCCCATCTGAAACAGAATGAAGCATGTTTTCCTGATTATCATGTTTCTCTGAATAAATTATATTGTTATCCTTAGAGCTATCCTTGGGGGTTTCTAGACATCAATTATTTATAAAATGAATAATGTTCTTGGCAAAGGCTGCAGTTCCCATTTTATTTAAATGCAGTCCATAATGATTTAAGTGTTTTGCACCTATATTATTATGTTTAATTAATCCCCAGTTTCTTTGTCTACAACAGTTTGCGAGAATTGTATTTACCTCTCTGATCTTTGGTACCAGGTCAATTTGATCTGTCCTTGTTGATGGATGCGTTTCCGAAATACCTGTACATAAATTTATTATCTCGTTTGCGACATCACTTGATGATTTAGCCTTCAGATCATTTGTTCCAACATGAATGATTAGATCATCAGGTTTTTTCTTTAAGCATGGTTGTACATGATGACTGATTGCTTCTACATTTGCACCACTGTAGGTTTCCAATCGAACTTTAGAGCCTCGGACAGATCTTTCCAGTCGCTGAACATCAATGTGCTTTGTCATTGAGTCACTTATTATGACCGTCGTTCTAGACTTCCTGTTTTTCCCGTTTACACGTTGACCAGACATCCCACTTGCTGTCTTTGACTTCTCAGGCTCAATAAATTCACTTGAAGATGCATCACTCTCTGAAGGTTTTGCCACTACATCGCTTAAAACGCTATACCGATTTCTTGTCTCCACGGCAGGCATTGGCTTACTAGCATAAACTAGACGAATATCGCCGTCAAACGTTTCCTTTTGACCGGTTGCTTTTGTATTACCGGCTTTAGTGTGATTGTTGGCCGCATTCTCAGGTATTTCTGTCTGTAGAATTCTTATGGCAGTTACAAGACTGAGCTTGTCATTTTCTGCCTCTTTTAACAGTCTACTCTTTGCCATCAAGTTTAACTGTTGAAAATTAGCCCAAAACTGTTTCTGATCAAACTAATTTCTCTTTAGGGATGAGGCCTGGGTATATTAGTTTGCAAAAAGTATAATTTGATTCAAATTTGAGTGGTACGTCCAAGGTCATTTTTTGAGATTTTTAAAATCAACCACATTATTAAAAAGTTCATAATAAGGCTGTTTTGAAGGATATGTGAAAAATTCTATAGATTCGACTTTCAAAGCCAGCTCATATGCTGAGTCCCCTCAATACTTACCTGGGTATTTGCAAGACAAAAATTTCTGATAATAGTCAAAACCAAGTTCAATTCAAAGCTAAGGGACTGGATTAATCCATTAACAATGCAAGACTCTTCCCTAAGTTCCCTTGCTGAATAAAATCATCTGCCATTAGACAGAGTAAAATATTCTGGTATTACACAAAATAAAATGCTGATGTAGGACACATAAGGGCACATTATGCATTACAATACACTTCCTGTGATGAGTGAGACTGCTACATTTGTTTTGAAACTATTAAATCAGCATGAACTTGCAGTCTAGTCCAGACGGCAGGTACAAAACGCAGGTTGCAGGTTGGAATTTCGCAGGTTGGGAATTTTGCAGGTTGGAAATTTTGCAGGTTGGAATTTTGCAGGTTGATGATGCAAACTTAAAATTACACCACTATAAAGTATTCTAGTATAATTTAATTGTGTACTTATTGCAGTCTGACTCCTTGTCGGCACTTTTGATATCAGCCTATCCTGCTACCATGTTCCTAGCTTCTGCTCTAAGGAGTGGCCATCACCCTTGTGAAAACATTCAAAATGACCAGATTGGCTTGGATCTTCAGGGGGACGGATGTTTCAATTGTTGCGAGGAGCCTACATGACGTGGTAGCAGTACAGAAAATGCCTGAATGAGGTGTCTCTCCTCTGCACCCACTTATGACAAGTCCACTCAAGCCCCAAATTACTGTATCATTACTCGAGAGTTAGTTAACTTTTAACAACATTCTAGTATAAACGCTGCCAGGTCATGTAGGCACCTCACAACAATCAAAACATTCGTCTGGTCATTTTGAATGTTTTTACGGGGGTGATGGCCACTAGCCTTAGAACAGAGGCTAGGAACATGGCAGCAGGGTAGGCTGATTAACTTATATCAAAAGCACCGACAAGGAGTCAGACTGCAATAAATGCACAACTAAGTTATACTAGAATACTAAAAAAGTGGTGTAATTTTAAGATTGCATTATCAACCTGCAAAGTTCCTGGCAACCTGCCAAATCCCCAACCTGCAAAATTCCAACCTTCAAAATCCTCAACCGGCAAAATTCCAACCTGCAAAATCCCCAACCTGCAAAATTCCAACCTTCAAAATCCCCAACCGGCAAAATTCCAACCTGCAAAATCCCCAACCTTCAAAATCCCCAACCTGCAAAATTCTAACCTGCAAAATTCCCAACCTGCAAAATTCCAACCTGCAACCTGCGTTTTGTACCTGCCGCTAGTCCAGACTATAAAAATGTTAGACTATAAAACAACCTGCGTTTTGTACCTGCCGCTAGTCCAAGACTATAAAAATTTAATATATAGTCCTATGTGCAGTAATCAATATTATATCCAACTGATATGTCTGAACTTACAATAACAGCAACCTTATTAACCTCACAAATGCATATTTTAATATGCATTTGTAAAATAATAATATTGTAATTACCCTGCAAATAGCTATAAAGAGCTAATTGAGGCAAGGAAAGAAATACAATTTAGACAACCAAGACAATTATTACAAAAACAAATACAGCTATAAACAAAACTGTTTTCTGTTTGAACTGTTTTCTTACAGTCACCAGTTGTAAATTAAATTTTATGTACATATTTTTAATACTAAGGGCCTGTTTATATTGACGCCGGGCTGGCCTGCTTAGTGAGACAGCCTGGTAAGTGGGATGAATTTCTTGTGTGTTTATATCAGAAAAGTTCATCGCTTGCCGGGAAAATTGTGTCATTGTTTTGAGAGTAAGTTAAAAATAGCTTGCTGCGGTATCTTTGAACTTTCATCCTGGCAACCGGGCTAGCCCCCTTGTGAGACAGTGTTTATATGGAGAAATTTCCAGCCCGGTAAGCAAGATCTCGCCTCTTGCAAGTGAGCTCTCGGCAACCGGGCCAGCCCGCCTGTCCATATAAACGCACATTAATTTTTAATATAAAAATATAACAGCCCCAATTTTTAATATAAAAATGAGATTTCGCTCACCGGGCTGTCTCGCTTGGCATGCTAGCCCGGCTTCCATATAAAAAGACAATAAGAAAGATAATTGTTATTTAATGAACTTTCTTTTAATATAGGCAATTTGGATATGACATGAAATTGTACTGTCAACATCTTGTTATAACAATGGCTGTACCATCATGGATGGAGGATAGTCTCCTAGTGCCAGTCTCCACCAAAGTGAAATTAATTATTACTGTATAACTAAAGATATTTCAAATTCCTTTTTGAAAAAGGAAGCTGGTTAGTTGTTGTTAATTGTGTGTTCTTTAGTTGTTGATACTAAATAGTTGTCAATATTAACCAAATTTCCATACATACTGGTAGTCTGGAGGCCATTGACCAGTTGTATTATTTTAATTTCCAAATTGAAAACTGCTTTGAACCAATTAAGCCACAATACTGCCTAAGACACCTAATTTTCTATAATTTTACTCACGTCAGATGACATTACATGTTAGCGAAACTATTTTTTCATAAATAAGCTCTGTATTGTAATGAACATACAATCCTACAATGACATTTAGAGCAAATACCTTCTGTCATGGACAATTAGTATGTATATTTTCAGAATTATGTCTCTACATTAACTGCGCGTTTTCTACATTAACTGAGCGTTTCTGCAATTATTTCACCCCTTTATTGACAAATAGTTTGCCTGGCAATACACAGAGCAAAAGTATAGTTAGTAACAAAGTATCATAAAATATTGTGGCTTAATTGGTTAAGAAACCGTTGCACAGTCTTTTACATTTCTATTCACAAATGGCGAGTTATTCAAAAGCTGGTTAGCTTAATCTTGGAGAAACGTAAAGTTGAAACCAAACTGCTTCCCAGTTTGGATATATTTTGCGATCATGTTGATCTCTAAGAACGATGAGCATACTGGTACTTTAGATCAACTTAAATTGTTGTTTCTGAATTTTTGAAAAAAAATATATATATACCTGCAGAAATACAGAAACTAAAACTGTTTGGTTTAATCTTACTCCATGGTTAGCGCTTTAACAGCTTTTAATAACTGGTCCCAGTGCAACCTAGACATAACGTTATCTAGCAAAAGCAATGTTATACCTTCTTTTGTAACTTTTGTTTTTTTCTTCTATATGCACTCCAATAGCTCTTTATTTGTGCTTCTTTTAGAATCAGTTTTTCCCCGAGTTTATCTTTCATCAACTTCTGGCATTGTAATGCAGTAAATCGTTTTCTTTTGTCGCATTCCCCTTCATTGAAGCAAAATTCCATGATTTCTTTTTGTTCCTCTGTGAACCTGTTGCTTTTTTTTTTAAGTATGCGTTCTGGCACTTCCCTTCAACATCTTCTTGTAAAATGATTGCAAACTTAAGTCTGATCGAAAGTTACAAACGTTTGGATCAAGTTTTCTCAGTTTTGCCGCACTACCAAGGGCTTCTCTAACTGGAAGCGATTGCCGCACCTCCTCAGCAGTTTTTCTTTTTCTTTCTTTGTCCTTCGTACTTTTACACGTTTCGACGTGTTTTTCCAACCAGCTTGGTCTCAAAAATTTCCTGCCACAATTTGGACAGCCGTCGGCGTCACAATCAGCATTAGGCTCCAAGTTTTCTTTACATTCTCGTTTTTCTTTCTTCTTTGTTTTTTACAATAATCGAGTTTCTACGTTTTCGTGGTTCTCAATTTTGCGAATTTTGCGAAGTGCGAATCTAAAGACGTCTTGCCTTTCTGCGCTTCAAAAAAAGAATATCGGACAATCCTAATGCGACACAGTTCTGAAAAACGCATCAACCATAAAATAATGGAAGTATTATGGTAATGAGGCCCATTATCTGACCAAATATACAACTTTTTGATGCCGTCATGTCTTGCAGCGAAATTTTGGAAGGTTGCTTCGAAAGCACTTGTGGTTTTGCACACAATCGCCGTTCGAGAAGACGTCATAAATCTCAACTTCGATTTCTTTCGAGTCTGACGACTTATAAAAAAACATTGTTCCATGCACGGACACTCCTTTCTTCGCATACCAATCACGCTGTGGTTCTCTAAATTTCTGAAGTAATAACTTCATCATGTAATCACAGACAGCAATGGTTTCTCCGGGTCGGAGTTGTTCAATTTCCTTCATGAACTTTGAACGTTGGTATTTTCCGCGAACTAAGTGGCCGATATACGAGTATACATTTTCCTCAATTTTGTTCAGCGTTTTAGCGTAGTACGTTTTCCGTTCGTAGGAAAGATCAGTGCTTGCAACTATGGCTTGTAAATCGTCAAAAAGTTGGAACCGTTCGATACAAATACTACAATCAGATCGGTATTCACACGCTCCATTTTCCTCTAACAACCAGGACATACAATGGAATGGGCAAGTTGATTTCTCCTCTAACTGCTCAATAAACTTCGATAGGAGATGACCCTTTAATACCTTAGCTCTGGTATGAAAGTCATTCATTGCTCCGTCCTTGTTACATGCATACTCGCTAAGTTTTTCTGCAACTCCCACGTGAATCATTAAAACTGGCGAATCGTTAGATAAAGGGTTTATCTGGCAATATTCTGTATCTGTCTCAGAAATGTCAATCATAACCACCTTACTCTTGTCTATTACATCTTCGTAATCATCCTCGAACATTTATTTCCTGCATATCTTCGTTCAGTGTGGACACGTCTACCAAGGAATTTGAAATTTCATTCTTTAATTCATCGATAATGTTATCAAGACATTCCCAATTGCGAGCACCAATTTCATCGCATATATTGCACAGCCCAACCATTTGCACCATTTCTTTGAAATTTCCAGCGTTCAAGCCTTGACGAAACTTTGTTTCAGATATTGGCCGTCTCCCGTTTGCTTCGCAGTCTTCTCTGTATTTAGCATATAGATGATTCTTAGTGTCTCTAAGCCACATTACAGACTGGCTTTTTTGCTCGAACAGGTCTGATAGCCATGACGACTTTTTACCCTCGCAGGAAGCCATTCTATGAGACGATCTTGTCACGTTATCTGGATGATGGAGAAAATCGACTACGAATGCGATATCTTCAACAGGTATTCGATATCTTGTTATGCGAGTAGGTTTAGATATGACACCAGGTCCGATGAATTTTGCGTGTCGACGAGCTTGGGTAATTTCGTGGTCCAAACAAGGAAATGCCTTTTTTAGTTCTTTGTTTGTGAAATGACAAGCTATCGTGCTTAACAACCTAATCTTATTAGAAGAACGCTGATTCTCTTTGTCGTAGGACTTGCGTAAGTCATTCATCATATTATCCAGTTTTTGGGCTTCATTGTTTTTGGTTTCGATGTTTTTAAGTGGTGTTTCTTCAATTACCGCACTAAGTAATTGCTCAGAGCAACCTTTAGATATTTTGTCGCATTTGTGTACCAATTCAGCAACGGCCGTTTTTGCTTCAACTTTCATTCTTCTTTTGGTAGCTTCACTTGCATCGTTGTAGCTTACCTTTGGTCGTCCTGTCCTTGTAGCAGCTGTTACGCTTGGATCTTTTCCATCATGAGTAGCTGACTGTACATCATTTTCAAAGAGATTTTTATCAGTTTCACCCTTTTCCCCATCTACCACTATGCTTTCACGATTTGTTTCTTGATTCGGGTTAGCTAGCTCTTTTCGTTTTAATAGGACCATGTTTTTGGCAAATCCTGCTATCTTCCTCTATTCTCATGTTTCCTAGTATGTGGCGTTTACCATCTTGGTCTAGAGAGTCAACTGGTGCATAATATAGCTTATTTATTTTCCGTTGGCTTGTTGTACAATCTGGTGCAGCACAACTTTTTGCGTATGGCTTAAAAGTTTTTGACAGCCAGCATGCTTGGCAAATTAAACGATGTTCAGCTTCCACTATTTTATCATCATCTATTCCAAGTTGTTTATAATTAGCCAGGGTGACAAATCTTTTCCGATTTTTGGCCTGGTATTCTTTGGCTTCACAAATATAGCATACATCAAGAGTTGTCATCCTCGCTTTATTTTATTCATTTCTTTGTAACTAAACTAAAAATTCGAGTTTGTTTCAGTTAATACCGAGTATTTCATTGTAATATACCGTAATGAAAGGATTGAAAACTGTAATGTCAATAAACTTTATTAAATTATAAATTAGCGTCTCTGCAGGCAAGTCAACGGACAAAGCGGTGGAATTACGTAGTAATTTAGAAAGAAAGATGGGGATAACAGGGGATCGTGATAAGTTCAGTCCTGCAAGGCTAAAAAAATCTGCTGTTTTTCTCCATTTGAGTTGCCTGCGCACGACGCTAGTACTGTCTTTAATGGCATGTAATATATTATTTTAATATTTTTTTTAAAAAATATACGTTGATCTTATATTTCAAAGTTGCTCCTAAATTTAGTACGTAAATAATGGATGGTTGGGATAAAAAGTCATAAGGGACCAGCAACAGAACTACTCGTAACAGTTCCTGTGCCCCTCTTACCCCGCCCCCCCCGCCTCCCAACGGCGTCATTCTTCACACCTTTTCGGGCATTCATGAAAATGCTGGGGATTTCGAAAGACTTGGGACCAACATTTTTGTTTTCTGCCAGCGGCACGAGAAGTATGTTTAATGTAGGAGAATCAACTCGCATGAGGCACAACCGTGGTTGGCACCGAGTAGAAAACGTTATCTCTAGATCTTAAACAAGGCATTTTCAGGGCCTTTTCTCTCTCATCTTTTGTGATTTTTAGTTGTTGGGTATTGCACCAGGCCACCAGCCACCTCCTCCCCTCTTTTCTAACTTAATAGATATTCTTTTACTTATAGCTGTGTCCTTTAAATCCCCCCCCCCGTTACTTTTCTTAGAGTTCACTCGTCAGAAAAATTTATTCCTTTTGATGCCCAATCAAATCCTGGTCACGTGCACAAAACGTTCTTCATGCGATCAAGGCTGTCAATTTTTATTTATTGCATGAATGTCGAACCGCATGGTTGTACAATTGAACGAAATATTTTCGTTATTTTCAACCGATCAAGATCATATATGTTACCAAATTTTTGAAAGAAATGTTGTGGATCCCAATGTGAAAGTGTTTATCAAGCTATGTTGTCATTAACAAAAATATTTTCCTCTGGAAAGTGAAAGAAACTCGAAAAAACAACTTTCTTGTGTTTTGCCTTCACGGAACGAAAATGGATTTGTGCCTACTGTATCTGCTTCTTGGCGTTTCCTGTTCATTACATATAGTATCACCACATTAACAAGGTAAAGATTTATTTGTACAAAATATTTCTAATATTTAAGATATAGCGTTGATTTACTCGTACGGTTCAAAAGCTAGTGTCACTATAAATATAAATGTGCTAGCCAAGCTTGCTTTGTGTCCACAAACAGTGAACTTATTGAAGCGATAAATTTGGTAAATAATGTGTTTCTTAAATTAAACGTTTTTTGAAAAGCTTTTGCATGTATCTTTTCATTGAATTTCTTTTCTAACCAATGCTGCTAAAACTAAACGAATTTGATTGTAGGTGTAACGACCTTGAAATGCATCATGTATGTTTCGCAGTGTTGAGCCATTTTCTTTTATTTCGTCACTCACTATGTCAACTTCGGCCGATTGGATTTTCATTTTGTCGCACAACTTGGTAAACTCCAAAGGGGCCCCAGCACAGTATCCGTCTATTGTATAAATTTCAGCTGTCGCAACCGATACACACAAGGCCCTTGCTACTTCTTCAAAGTTTTTTCCTCTCAGGAAAAGATTAACCGCTTGGATCTTTTTCGCCGAAGCTTTGCACGGTCCATACAATGATTTATAACTTCCATGCTTCGAAAAACACAAGCAAAAAAAAGGTTACGATAGTTATCATTGATGCTTTTTAGCTTATAATGAAAAAACATGCATTTACCAATGTATATTAGACTGATAATTGACTACCTTTGACATCGCTGAGGACGTTTTAATACTCGCTGCCATTATCGATCTTTTTATCGAGTAAACTAAAAAGACCAGAAATTGTCAAGGTTGAATTTTTTGGCAATATATTATTTTTTTAAATCAAAGAAAACAAAATGCCTCCTATTTCTCATATATACATATCCTTTCAATATAAAATTTAATGTGCAACTTGCTATAAAAATAAAATTTTTGACTTGACTGTTGTTTTATAAAGTGTTTGAAAAAAACTACACACATAAAGTACTGCATGACAGGATGATTTTATAAAACATTTAGCCCACGTACAATTTCTTTTTTTCTTGCTCAGTTAGTCCTATAGTAATATTTGTTTTATCTGTGCCTCGTGTTCGTTCTTTTCAGCAGTTTACTTAAAAGGGAATCATATTTTGAGGCTAAAAACGTGCACTTTTAAATACACTTTAATTTTCGCGCCAAAATCTACTTGGCCAATAAATGCCAAATTATATAAACAAACTGAGCTATAAATATTCATTTAATGAAGGTGTATTGCAGGCAAGCACATTATATTTTGTGACAGTTTAGTAGCTCAAATTCAAGACAATAATTTTTTAAGAGAAGGCTTTTCAACCTTTGTAAAAATACAAAAGGTATTTTGGCATATTAAATTTTAAACCTCAATTTAATGCAAGCCTCCTATTTTTATACTGGCGAAACAATACGATATTTAAAATGTAGAAAATGTCTTTTTACTCACCTTGGACACGATGTTCAATCTCGAGGAATATGTATTTTTGTTTCTTTGGACTTTTTTTCGTTTTTAAAAGTTTTTCTTTCAGTTTAAAAAAATTTATCGTTGCAATATTAAAATTAAATTCCGCCTGAATTGCGGGCAAATGTGACAGCCCAAATTTAAGGTTGTTATTGCCTGGTTGCTAAGTTTTGAGCGGTTTTTGAAAAAAATACGCGACTTTGTAAAAAATCTCCTCTTAAACACAATAAAAAATCTAAACTGACACTAACTAAAAATAGTAAAAAACATAAACCGCCATTTTGAGTACTGATTTATCCACAATTGTCCCCATTACCGGTTTATTTTAAATCCGGCCGGAATTTAAATGTCCAAATCCGGTAAATCCGGTTCCTAGGAATATACATATCCCACTTTGACACTGATTTTCTAACGCCGCGATCAGAAGGAGGTTTCCTCTTTGAAGGATTTTGCAAAAATCTTGTCACTGTGACCACATGGCGATTTATTCCTTCAGCGATTGATTTGGTTGTTTTGCCCTTTGCAATTTCTTTTATAATAATGGCTTTCTCGGCTTCTGGTAAGTCTTTCCTACGTCCCATATTGCCGGATGATTTATGAAACTAATACCGTAGACCACCTGTTTTGTAGAGCAACCCCTGGATTTTGTAATCACGTGACTAATATGAAATATAAACATTGCAACGATGTTTTCACTATAAACAAAAAACATTTCACGTGTATTGATGTTTTACCCTCCTACTTCGAAGACATAATGCCCAAATCTCATACATGACTAATATCGTGGTTCGCAGTGTATATAGCTCAGTGACCCAGACTATCTTGGGTTCCCTGTGCTCCTTGTATTATTGTCGGCCATATTGGTTTTTTGTTCTCTCGTTAAGTTTGTCTTAAATAAAACCCTTTTTCCTTTAACCTGTCTGGTGTTGGGTCTATAATGTATCTCTTTAGTACAAGTTGTACAGTATAAAAATGTACTTTTATTGCCTTCAATATCAAAACCCTATTTTCTTACACGTGGTCTCTTTCTGATACCTAAATATATATTACATCACGTGACATGACGTGACTACATTACATCCCTCCTTTTCTTTAAAATAACTCATTAATGTTAATTGCTGTTTATTGAATTTCTTGTAATTTGTGAGACATTTGAAACACGATACATTCCGGGTTACGGTGCGCTCTGTATTACGAGCTGTTACCATGTTGCCTTTGATTTCAATCACTTTAAATGGTTTTGGATTGAAAGGCATTGATAACTTATTGTCCTTCGGGACTTGCATTAGCACGTAATCACCAACTTTCAACTGACTTTCTTTCGCGTTGTTTCTTCTATCAGCATGGACTTTCATTTTCCCCTTTTCCTCCTTATCTCGAACAACGTGGTGTTCCACAGGGCCATCATTGTGTTGTAGGGATGAGAAACTAGGAAGCTTATTTCTAATTGAGCGATTGAACAAAAGTTCAGCTGGACTAGTGTGTGTCGTAGAATTAGGTGTGGATCTGTAGTTGAGAAGAAAAAGATCTAATTCATTTTGCCATCTTTTTCCTTCCGAATGAGCAGTACGGATTGCTTTTGTTACTGTTTTCATGAATTGCTCTGCCTCACCGTTGGCTTGAGGCCAATAAGGTGTGATTCGGCGGTGATGGACTCTATGTGCAGCTAGATATTCGGTGAACTCAACCGCATTGAACGGGGGTCCGTTATCGGTTATCAATTCTTTGGGATATCCATGTCGGGCAAAGATTCTTTGGAGTTTGGAGATCACAACCGTGGTTGTCGTGCTTTGCATCACTTCAACTTCTGGATATCTGGAATAGGCGTCAATCACGACCAACAATTTCTCGCCATTTGGGAATGGACCACAGAAATCTGCATTAAGTGTGTGCCAAGGATGTGGAGGTAACTTTGTCATATTCAGGGGTGGTTGACATTTTGGTGACTGGTGTACTGCTGCTTGGCAGGGTATACATTCTTTAACCATTTGCTCCACTTGCTTGTCAATACCAGGCCACCATACTTTACTGCATACAAGCATTTTAGTTTTAACTATCCCTTGATGTCCTTCATGAGCGATAGAAAGGACACGACTACGGAGACTCTTTGGGATAACAATCTGTGAATTTCGTAGTATAACTCCACATTCCGAAACTGTCAACTGTTCGTGCTGATTACGATATGGACTTAAACAACTATCTGTTTTGTTCCATCGATCTTCCTTTACTGCGCTAGTTACTCTCTGCAGTTCAGGATCATTTAACGTTGCGATACGAATCTCATCGAGCATGAGTGATTTAGGAACCGAGTGACTTTGGATGAAATTGACATATTTCTCCGCTATGGTACTTGACTTGTAGTTGGTGAATAAAGGTTGTCGAGACAACACGTCAGCTGGGTTGCTGCTACCTGGTCGATACTTGATATTAAACTTGTATTGTTGCAATCGTAGTAACCAACGTTCTATCCGGAGTGGTGGTTTGGACTTTGGGCTGTAAATGACTTCCAATGGTTTGTGGTCAGTGATGAGGTCAAATTGTGTTCCAACAAGGTAAAGATGAAAACGTTCACAACCCCACACGGCAGCCAGTGCTTCTTTTTCGGTCTGCGAGTAGCGAGCTTCCACAGGCGTTAGGGAACGACTAGCATACGCTATGCAGCGATCTTGCCCATTTTCTTGTGTTTGGGCTAATACTGCACCAAGTCCGACAGGACTTGCATCCACTGTCAATTTCGTAGGTCGATTTGGATCATAAAATGCCATCGTACAGTCCGAAGCAATAGCATTTTTAACTTTGGTGAAAGCTTTCTCATGCATAGTTGACCAAGACCATTTGCACGATTTGGTTGTTAATTCACGTAGAGGGGCTGTTAGAGTGGAGAAGTCCTTAATAAATCATGAACAGTAATTGGCCAGACCTAAGAAACTGCGTAGTTGACTGACATCTGCTGGTGTTTTGAAATTTTTAATTGCCTCGACTTTCTTTGGATCTGCTGACAGTCCGTCCTTTGACAGAATGTAGCCATAGAACCAAAGTGACGGTTGATTAAACTTGCATT